ATTGTAGTTAACTCTAGAGACTTGATCAGAGTCAGGTTTCATTTTTCTGTCAAAACAATTTCATACATGGTAGAAAAATCCCATGTCTCTCTTTTTTCCCCATGATATTCTTTATACTGTCAGTGTAGTTTCTGAACTTAGTTGCAGTCTGTAAGACAGGGTGTCTTGACTTGATCACTATTGAAGTTTTCTACCAGGTAATTCTTTGTTGGTTGGGGAGGTGGGGGGACTCTCCCATGCTTTGTGGGATGTTTAGCAGCATCCTGGTCTCTACCCACTAGATACCAGTAGCAGCCACTCCCCAGTTGTGACAATCAAAAGTATCTCCAGACATTGCCAAATATCCTTTAGGAGGGTAGGGCAAAATCATCCCTGGTTGAGAACCACAGCTGTAGACTAACCATCAGTTATTCTCAAAGGTTATCTGTCCACAGCCTTTAACGTTTCAAGCGCTAATCCATTGACCATGAGACCCAGGCCATTCGCTATGACTATTGTATTGATTTTTTGTTGGTGCTATGACAAATTACTACAAATGTAGTGGCTTAAACAATACAAATTTATGATCATATAGTTCTGAAGGTGACAAGTCCAAATTGGGTTTCACAGGGCTATAATCAAGGCGTCAGGAGGGCTGTGTTCCTTCTGCATGGTGTTTTTCTTCGTCTTCGGAGCCTACAGTGTAGCATCTTCCAGTCTGTCTCTCTGTGACTGTCTTGCATCCCCCTTGTAAGAACCCATGGGAGCTGGGCGCAGTGGCTCACCCCTGTAATCCTCACACTTTGGGAGGCTGATGCAGGAGGATCATTTGAGACCAGGAGTTTGAGAGCAGCCCTGGCAACATAGCAAGACCTTGTCTCTACAAAAAAAGGAGAAAATCAGCTGGGTGTGGTAGTGTGCACCTGTAGTCCCAGCTACTCAGGGGACTGAGGTGGGAGAATTGCTTGAGGCTGGGAGGTTGAGGCTGCAGTGAGCTGTGTTGTGTCACTGCACTCTAGCCTGGGTGACAGAGCAAGAACCTGTCTCAAAGTAAAATAAAAATTAAAAAAATGAACCCATGGGATTACATTGGGCCCACTGAATAATCTAAATAATCTCTCCATTTAAAAGTCCTTTATTTAATCATAGTTGTAAAGTCCCTTTGACCATGTAAAGCAGCACATTTACAGGTTCTGGGGATTAGAATGTTAAAGCTCAGAAAACAACACTCGTAAGTATGGCATTTTGACATGCTGAGTGTTTTGAACTAAAGCAGCAGCCATGGAATCAAGGTGTCTGTGACCACCTCCTGCCTGCTGTCTCCTGCCTTTCTGCCTCTCCTGAAGCAGAGGGAGGGACTTTTTCTAAAGTTGCTATATCTGACTAAGGGAAGCTCCTCCAGAAGGAAGCAACTGACTTGAGCCCCACTCCCTATAATCTCATCAAACAGGTGGGACTGACTTGCAGGAAGGAAGGTTAGAGTTGACGCCACACCCAGAGCCCAGAGGAAGTTTGTTCCAGGTTATTATCTGAGTATATAAACTTCTATTGCTACAGCACATTGGGTTATTGGGTACTCACTTTCCTGTGATGCCCCATGCCCTTGATAAGTCTATATGCCTTTTCTCCAGTTAATCTCTCTATTAGTTCATTTTGAAGACTCAAACCTCAACAGAGGAGAGAAGGAGTTCTCTTGCCCCAGTAAGGTCATTCACATCTTTTGGGGACCATATCCATATAACTGAGGCCAGAATGTGTGAAAAATTCATCAAGAGGTTTACGAGGAGTGAATGCAAGTTGTAGAATATGGGAACAGTCCATGGTTTGGTCACAGTGTCCAGGCTCAGCCTCCTCACTCTAGTTCATAGAACCACCTGAAACACACAAAGACTGTGTGTGCATTAATCATTTACTCTATCATGTTTCTTTCTTGAACAGGGCTGAATTTTTACCTGCCTGATGTCCTTTTCTGTCTGTTTTTGTGATTGCTGGCTCCTCCAACTGTGTCCCAAACAGATTCATTGACTTCGTTTCTAAATCTGCTCTTCTTCCCCATATCACTAGTTGTGTTAATGGCTTTGCCGTCTTCCTAGAGCCAGATTTCAACCTCATTCTTTACCTCATCTAACATACAATTATTTGCTAAATCCTGGGGATTCCATTTCCATGGGAGCTTTTCAATCTATCCTTTCTTCCCTATTCCCAGTGCTGTTCTCTTATTTCAGGCCTCGAGTGGCTTTTTATGGATTATGAAATAGTCTTTCTAAATGACCCCCTAGCCAGTCTCCATGGCTTGTTTTTCCTCTGCTGTCAAGGGTCACACAGAAGCAGCTATTCTTATGGAGCACTCTGAGTAAGTAATACCCTTAACCCTCAAACCTACTCCCTGAGCTGCACTGAGCCAAGTGCAAGCCAGAGGGCAGACGTTCATATTTACAACCTACAAAAAAATACCAAGACATCATTGAATCAAATCCACTAGAAACTTTTGTATGCGTTTCAAAGAAAGGAGAGGACTCGGATTAGCCGCAGGGTCCTGTGTGGCTGGGTGGAATATTGACACTTCCTGGGACAGTGGAGGAAAGGCTAGGAGTCATTGCCTGACTCAGTGCTCAGCCTCTCCTTTAAAAAACATGATTATTTAAAGAATAAGAAATATTTAAAGAATCTCTGATTGAAGGGGTGCCACCTTATTGCATGCCTGAAAATCCACCTGTCTGATCCCATTCTTCAGATGAAGCAACTGAGGCTCAGAGGATTTAAGTAATTTGCCTGAGGTCATGTAGACAGTAAGTGGCAGAACTGGAATTCTGTTTTAGGAATTCAAAGTTTCATATTCTTTCCACTGTTTGACCCGGTTTCATCCACGTTTGCAACTTTGTTTTCCATTCTTTTATTTTTATCTTAATGTTGCAGTAAAACTAAATTCCTCACTCTTTTTTGCTGGACCTGGAACTTTTCCTCCTTTATATCTTTTCTCATGTGGTTCCCTCTGCCTAGAATGGCCCAGAACCTGTCTAAGCCATGAAAATTGTACCCTTGAAAATCCAGCACCAACAGCATTGCTTCTAGGAAGGGAACAGCCAGTTTCTCTCTGACTTTATCGCACGCCTTTCATAAGAACTCATAGAATCACATTGGGCCCACTGGCCCACAAAGATCCCTACTTTGTTTTGTTTGTTTGTTTGTTTGTTTTTTTGTGTGTGTTTCAAACAAACTTTATTAATTCAAAAACAGCAGTAGCCAAATCTCACAGGCCATGTCTTGCTAATACCTGCTGTAGAAGCTCAGTTCCTCGTTTACTAAGTACCACCTAAAGTAAATAAAATAGTCCTCTTGCTTTCTATTTCTAATTGCAATCATTACTCCTCCACTGTCATATAAAACCACTTTATTTGAGGCTTGTATCATCCAAGCTGTGATACCATCTATTCTTCTTTAATATAATGACCTCCTGGTTATCCCAGGAGAATAAAAGACATTGACAAATGTTTGTAGCATGATTATGTTTGGGAAAAGATTCTCCTCTTAAGATCCCTACTTTGAAGTGATAAACACTAGCAGCAGCTCATAGCTTGTTTATGGCTATTTCCAATTTGTGCCTTTCATTATAGATAGTTACGCATAGGTCTTCCTCTTTTAGTGAATACATTGTCCATGAGGAAAGAGCTGTGTTTGATTCATCTTTATGCCTCCCATAGAGTCTTGCCCATGAGAGGCACTCAAAATACGTGTGGACTAAAGAAGCAAGTAAAGTAAATAAATACTTTGTCCAGAATTGTCTATTTCTTTCCGGTGTGGTCTGAATGTGTTTCCCCAAGATCATGTTAAAACTTAATCACCATTGTGATAGTATTAAGACGACAGGCCTAAGTCCTGAGAGCAGAGCCTTCCTGGATGGAATTAGGGTCCTTACAAAAGAGCTTGAGGGAGTGTTTGTTCTTTTCTGTTCTTCTGCCATGAGGATACAGCATTCACCCCCCTTTTTGCCCTTCTGTCCCTCCCACCATGTCAGGACACAGTGTTTAAGGTACCTCCTTGGAAGCAGAGAGCAGGCCCTTTCCAGCCACCAAACCTGCTGGCACCTTGATCTTGGACTTCCCAGCCTCCAGAACTGTGAGAAATAAATTTTTTATTGTTTACAAATGACCCAGTCTCAGGTATTCTGTTATAGTGGCCTAAACAGATGAAGATATTCTCTAATTATAAAGGATTTGCCAAGGATAATATTAAAGCCAGAGACATAGAAGATAGGCATAGTTTTGGTGCACTTTGCTTCTGTGTCTTTGTACAAATTGTTACTTCTCCATCACCTGTGGGATGTTCTCCTTCCTACCCCACATGCTTCCACCAGTTCCCAGCTACCAATTTCTTCAAGACCTGGCTCAAAGCCTAGTCCTTCCTAGGGGACTTCATTCCTGAGTCCAGACCACTGCAGTTTCCCCTTTATCCAGTGGTCACAAGGCACCCACACAGGCTGACAGTTGCCACCTGATCATCATCACCAGTCATCACACTGTTATTGCATACTTGGTATAGGAAAGACTCTATGTCATGTGCTGTGGGGGAGGGAGGGAGAGCTTTGCAGAGGAGGTGGGATTCAAGCAGGGTCTTGAAGGCTGTGTTTTCATTAAAGAGGTGGAAAAGAAGGGGAATAAAATAATGCACAACATTGAAGATCAACTTCTACTCTTCTTGTTATTGGCTATATAATTTTGAGAAAAATCCTTTAATCCCTTTGGAAATCCATTTTCTCATATTTAAGGTGGGAATCTATTATTTTAGATTTAGAGAGGGTGCTTATGAGGATCAATGTGAAAGCCCCATGTATTGGTGAGAATGAATTTCTTTGCAAGTAATATTAATAATTAAGATATAACATGTAGGGAGACTGAGGCAGGAGAATCGCTTGAACCCAGGAGGTGGAGGTTGCAGTGAGCTGAGATTGCACCACTGCTCTCCAGCCTGGGCGACAGAGCGATATATATATATATATGTATATATATATATATTTAACATGTAACATCTCTTCAGTGGTTAACATATGAAGCTGACAAACCTCCTTTCTCCATGACATCAACTCTCTCATCTGGTGGTGGCCACCGTCTTGCTGCTGCTGGTTGAAGATGGGAGAAGTCTTGCATTTCTACTTCCTCGTGCAGGGGCCCACAGATGGGTGTTCCGTCATTCCAGTAACTTTACATTTCTTAGTAATTGGCTGGTTTTCCGAAGGAGAAGGGAACTGATCCCCGTCCTCTGCACACGCTTTGTTGTTTGAAGTCTGCACCTTTGCTTGCTGTTGCCCCCACTGCTTGGAATGTGCCATCTTCTCAGCCTCAGCCTGATCAGCAGTTACTGGGTCAGTAAGAGTCAGCTAAGGTCTCACACTACAAAGTTTCCCTGACCTCATTTTGACCTCCTAGACTGGCTAAGGTTCCCCTTTTCTGTGCTCCCATGCTGTACTGGGCATTGCTGTCTCCAGTGCACAGTTATCACACCATACTACAAAGACCTGCCTCTCTCACTGGGCTCCCCATCCCTTCAAGACCGGCACATAGCACTCACTCATGACATGGTTGTTGAATCAATCAATGGCCTTTCTCCCTTCTCTCCCAGTCCTACTTTGCTTCACTCTGGGCACCACCATTCCTTCTCTCTCATTCTGCATTGTTTATGGCCTGTTAGTCATTAATACAAAGCCATTTCCAAGTCTGGCCATTAGTAATGTCTGGAGGTGTTAATAGTAACACTAGCTCACATCTACTGAGCACTTACTATTTGGCTGGCACTATTCTAAGCACTTTGCATGTTTAAACTCCTTTAAACGTTCCTTTGTTGCCACTTTTTTTCTGCTGGGGACTAACCTTGACATTGTGGGGGAGAGGTGTTCTGGTATAGCCATGGGACTGTAACATGGTTTTATTGTCCTATTATGTGTACGTGTAAGACAGTAAATCCTGCAGTGGAATACAAGTTGACTAAGTCTATCATCACTCAAATATTGGAAGATATGTGGGAAAAAACCACCAACAAAAAGTTTTGATATCCTCATAGTACAATGACATTACAGTTTTATTTTGTTTTTTCTTTATGTGTAGTTTTAAATTACTGTATTATGTTTCAGATAATTAAGCCAGAAGAACAAATTGGGATGGACTGTTGTATTTACATTTCAGTTTACTAGAGGTAGCCTTGAAAGAGTTACAAAAATATGAGAATCAGTGTGGAAAAAAATAAGGGAGGTTTTCAATTTTTTTTTTTTTTCAAAAATGATAAATTGGCAAGGAAGACAGATATGGGAAAATCAGTCATGGGAATTTGTCTTTCAGTGACTCCTTTTTGACTGGGAAGAAAAGCTTTTCTTCGATTTAGTTGAGAGCAGTGACAAGGATTATTTTACTTGAGGATGGCAGATTATTTTACCAGCAGCTGGCAGACGAGAAGAATTCCCTGGACAACAAGGAGGGGCAGTATGGTATGGAGGGAACCCGGTTGAGAGGGTCTGGGGTTCAGAGCTCCACGATGCTGCTTACCAGCTCTTAGCCTTCATTACATTACTTACCTTCCTGGAGGTTCAGTTTCCTTATCCATAAAATGGGGGTCAGGTTGCCAAATTTATCAAATAAGAATCTAGGATGTCCAGTTAAAGCTGAATTTCAGATAATTATTTTTTAGTATAAATATGTCCCATGAAATATTTATGCCCCATGCAGTAACTATGTCCATAATGGTACATGGGACATATACTAAAACATTATTTGTTGCTTATCTGAAATTCAAATTTAACTGTGTGTCCTATTTTTTTTCTGGCAACCCTAAATGGGGGCAGGGGCAGTGGTGGTGACATGAGTGATTATCTTGTAGGGGTGGTGTGAGGATAAAATAATACCACAGTTAGGTTTTCTCACAGTGTGTAGTCTGTGTGTAGTCAACACATGACTCTAAGTAGTGACTGTAACATAACTGTAACTGGTGTATAGTCAAAAACAAATGATATTAGTATAATAGTTATTAATAAAGGTCTTTAAATGACAACTGGTCATACAGGGAGCCTTTGGGGAAAAGTTTCTGACTCTAAACTAAGGGAAGGTAAATTATGATAAGATCTGGGAATGAGATTTAGACTTACACAGTAATAATTTGAGGAAGAGAAAGACTTAGTAAATTAGTTATGTAATTACATAATTAACAACTTGGGAGGTTTTCTTTCAACGTTTATTCCCTAGGGCATCATCTTTAAATTATATTTAGTTTTTGCTAAGTTGACCAGTTTGTGGTTTTAGGTGTTTACTTTCTTTTCTTTTTAAATGTAGGGAAAGCATATTTAACTTCATCTTAAAGAAATTATGTAGCCATATAAAACCGGAGGGTAGGATCTACTGGCAAGGAAAAAAGGGCCTTTACTGCCACCTGGTGGCCATATTCTTTAACTGCAATGTGCCTAAGTGCGGCTGGAAAGGAAAGCGTTGGAAAATCTGCTAAATCCAGAGAGCGCCAAGGCAGTGTCATGACAGTAAGGGCCGTGAACTACTGTGTCCTTTCCCTCAGTTCCCAATCTCTCATAGCTTGAGCCGTGAGAATTAGCAGCTGCCTTTGAGAGGTGGAGGACAGAAAATGGTGAAGTCCATGCCTTCCTCCTTGGTACCGAGTTTCCAAACCTTAAGTGAAGGAGCCTGAGAGGGGAGAAGCTTCAGGTTGAGTAGACTGTTTTTTTTACTTTTTTGTTTGTTTTAAAAAGCCTCTTATTTAATGGCTCAGAGTGGCTAGAAAATCCGTGGTATTGGTTAGCTTTCGTCTCAAATGCAGGGAGGGACAAGGCAAATCCAGAGAGAGGAGTTGAAAGGACAAAGAAAAAAGAAAAAAAATGCTTTTTACTTGCATTTTGCTGCATGCAGCTCACTCAATAAACATGTTTTAAATGCATAAATATATCATGAGGTAAAAATCGGGGGGAAAGGCAGTGCATTGATTCTGATAGAGGACAGGCAAACTGCATTCCATTTGGACTGCAGTCTCTCACTCCCGCCACCACACACAAACTAAGGTCAAAATCAGGGAGGGAGTCTGGGGTAAAGTTATCAGTAGAGTCAGTTCTAGGAGCCATAATTTTAAAAAGTCTTAAAAAGCCCATAAGTCCATTATAGCAGGGACATAAAGCAGTCCTGGCCTCCGGACCCTGACCCAGCCATGGCAAGCAGGACTGCTTCCTTTTATTCTCCCTTGTGTCCTCATGGGTATTTCCAAGCCCTGCAGGGAAGGATGGAAGCTGGTTCCATCAGTGCCTCTCCCCCAGCTTCTACCCTCCTCTCTCTTCTGTGACCTCTCAGTTTTCCTTCTCTGTACCCCAAATCATGCCTGTCTTAGTCCATCGTCTGTTGCTGTAACAGAATACTACAGACTGGATCATTTATAAAGACAAGAAATGTATTGCTTACAGTTCTGGAGGCTGGGAAGTCCAAGCACATGGTGCTGACATTTGATGAAGGCCTTCTTGCTGCGTCCTCACACGGCAGAGGGCATCACATGGCGAGGGGGCAAGAGCAGGCCTGTCCACTCAGGTCACTCTAACTCTTCTTATAAAGCTACCAGTCCCACCGTGGGGGCCACACACTCATGACCTTATTTAATCCTAATTACCTCCCAAAGGCCCTACCTCCAAATGTCATCAATATGTGAATTTGGGAATTAAGTTTCCAGCACATGAAATTTGGGGGACACATTCAAACCATAGCAATGCTTAACCTTAGAATACCGCCTGGCATCTGCCCAGGCTTTCACAGCCACTACCTCTGGACATGTTAGGATCTCTATTTACACATAAGGCTTGCCATGGCCATTACACATCTGTGAGTCAGTGTAGGGTCCTGGTGGAAGCCCGGGTCTTAGAGTCCCTCCATTATGCTTGCTACCCTGGCTCTCCACCTTCAATTTTTGGCTTCTTATTTTGAACTATGATGATATTCTTGTTGTTAATTTTTTTTTTTTTTTTTTTTTAGTATGAAAGTTTTCAAGACGCCTACAAGTGGAAAATGCACTCCTCCCAGCCAAATCAAGCTTTGCCAGATTCCTTACAGCTGTGTGCAGTGAAATGACTAATGAAAGAGCCCTCCGCTGCTGGTGGAACTTTCACATATGGCACTGCTGTGCCACTCAGCAGGACCTGACCCTGGTATTTACATATTGGATGTCACCCCAAAAGCCCCTGACACGGGGGTTTCCGGGATGTAATAAGAATGCCACTCTGGGCTTTGGAAGGTGCACCGTATGCACACCCATACTATAGGGCAGAGATTAGCATTTCAGACCCCCATTCCTCCCTCAACAAGCAAGTGCTTTTCCCCAGGGAGGACGTTCAGATTCATTCATAGATCCATTGGTGCCATGGGCAGCTCAGTAACAGTAGCTCTGCTGCCTACCAGCTGCTGGTAGAGGTGTTGAGAATACCTAGATGAGGAAGTCAGCTGCTGGTGGAGGTGTTGAGAATACCTAGATGAGGAAGTCAGGGCCCCTGCGTGCTTGAGCAGAGCTGGATGCCTGGCATGGCAATGGACACAAACCCTTGGATAATTTCCATCCTTGGCGGTGTGTTCTGTAGCATAGGTGTGAAGCGGGTGCTCTGCGAGCTCGGAAGAGGGGCTCTTAACTTATGGGTGGCCAGGGAAGGCTTCCTGGAGCTCAGATGACTGAGTGGAGTCTTCAACATTAAAAAATAAAAAGTGCTCACCCCCACCCCCAGTTAAAAAGGTAATACACCTAATTGAAATAATTTAAACTTTACAGAAATGGGTTCCTTTAAAGTTCAGAGAGTAAAGAGGAAGTAATAAAGCTCAAATCATAGAATGTCTAATTAACTGCAGCCTGTAACTTTCTTCCTGAAAAGGGAGTGGTGTGTGTGCATGTGTGAGTGTGTGTAGGTGAATCTGTAAAGGATGGAGTAGTACTAAAAAGAGGGAGGTGAAGACGGAGGTGAGATCTCATCTTTGTGCCCTGAACCTCTTTGTTATAATGTCAGGCAAGGAGAGAAATCAATACTCATCCTCTATGGGACTCTGGCTTTTTCAAACTTGGTTTGCCAGGTTTTGGTCTTGGTTGTTGATGGCTTGTAACTTCAGAGTCTCATTGCTGGCCATGCTTCCAAGTGGTTTATTAAGAAGTTTTCCTAAACAAAATTGATCTCTCCCTAAAAAAGTTATAGGTCTAGCTGTGAGATGTTAACAATATTTAGCCTGCTACAATACCAATAAGAGTTCCCATTTACTGAAGACTTTCTTTGTACCAGCTGTGTGCTAAGAGCGTTATATTTGTTACCTCATAACATCAACCCTCACACCAACCTTACGAAGCAGGTATTTCATTCATCCCAGATAAAGGAAGCTAGGATTATTACTGCTGCACCCACATAGCTGATAATCAGTGGGGCTTGGCCCCAAACCCAGGTCTCTGACTCCTACGTCTATGCTTACGAACGTACCATTTCTGTGCAGTATTTCTCAAACATATTTGGCTACAGGAACATTTTCAAAAGTGAACACCACTTACTTCTTAGTACTGTTATTAGCATTTCATGGAACACAATTTGGGAAATACTGCCCCAGGAAAATACTGCCCTGTCTTTAAAATAGTGATAATAATACAATCTCCATATTGCGATGATTAAAAGACGTTTCAGGAAATGGGTGCTGAGGATACTTACTTTCCACCAGGAATGTGTGTGTGCTTTAAAAATAACATTCGTGGCCGGGCACAGTGGCTTACGCCTGTAATCCTAGCAATTTGTGAGGCCGAGGCAGGTGGATGGCGTGAGTCCAGAAGTTTGAGATCAGCCTGGGCAACATGGTGAAACCCTGTCTCTACTAAAAATACAAAAATTACTCGGGTATGGTGGTGCATGTCTGTGGTCCCAGCAATTCGGGAGGCTGAGGTGGGAGGATCGCTGGAGTCTAGGGCGTGGAGGTTGCAGTGAGCCAAGATGACATCGCTGTACTCCGGCCTGGGCAACGGAGTGAGACCTTGTCTCTCTCTCAAATAATAATAATAATAATAATAATAATAATAATAGTATAACATTTGTAATGTCCTCAGTGAAAGGAAGCAGTGTTTTGGCCAGGATGATAATGAAGATATTGTTACTGGGCTGGAAGACCCTTGGGCCCTGTGGGGGAGGGCCTTGTAAGCTGCCACTGCCTCCCTTCCACAGGTGCCCCTTTGGTCCCCTTCCCTCCCCTCTGCCCTCTGGTTCTCTCCATCATCCCTCTGTAGTGCTCGTCTTTGTTCAGGATGATGCTCTGTTTGCCTGCCTCTGGGCAGGGGCCTTGCTCTAAACCACGCTGCTGCCTACTCAGGCCAGCCCAGGATGTCTGCTTTGCAAATTTGGACTGTTCTGAGCCCCAGCTGTAGGCCAGGGGTCTGTGACATATTGGGCAGACCACCCACAGCCCAGCTGCTGCCATTGCTCAGCCTACATATTCCCAGAGAGCACATCATCACCCACAACATCTCACCGACAGACCCTGCCTTTAGAGACAATGACCAACCTAGGTGAGCCTGGTTGGCTCTACCTCCCTGGACATTGATTTGGACAGCTCACCGACTCCCAAAGGAGCCAGTCTTTGGGCCTGGTTGGCTCCCAACCTACTCCCTGCCCCATTGGTTTGCTACAGGGGCCCGGCAGTCCCAAATCATGACATTCCTTTTCTTCCATGCACCGGTTTTGCCCAGCTGTCCTTTTTTCTTTCATAATTTCATCAGTCCCACAGATATGCACATTTGGGCAAAAATACTAGGAACAAAACAGACAAACAAAAACAGGCCCTCAACCCAGCTCCTGAAGACCAGTTAGAAAGAGCATTTGCATTCTTCTCAGTAAATATCAAGCACACTAAAAAAGAAAACAAATTATTTCACTTACGTTCTCACTTGCACCTGTGAGGGAGCCATTGTTACTGTCATTTCATGCATGGAAAGGCGGGGGGGTCACAGAGGTCAGCTGATTTGCCTAACGTTGCAGAGCTGAAAGCACCAAAGTCAGGACCAGAATAATTATCCAGTGTTTGTCCCTCTGCCAAGTGCTGCCCCTTGGACTTGGGGCCCTCAGGCCATCAAGACTGGGGCCCTTTGCTCCTGGAGGGTCCCAAATTGATAGCGTAAGGCTGGTTCCGATCGAGTCCGACATGCTGCTAGGAACCCTCCGTTTTCTTCCCTTTATTCTCTTCCATCTTCCTTTTCCTAAGACTCATCCCACTGTCCATTCTTCAGAGGCTTCAAGGTGCTCTTTGACTTTTCTCTGTAGCTAGGCCATGGGACTTTTAGGTGTCACCCACCGTCCCACCCACTCACTTGCCTCTTGACAGTGCACCAGCTGAAGCACAACTATGTGTTGGGGAGATATGTAAGGAGAAATGTGAGATAAATAAAGCGTTAAAGAAATATTGCCCCTAATAAAGCGTTAAAGAAAAATTATCCTGATATCTGTGAAAAACAGCAATGAAGACTATTCAAGACTGTTGCAATAAGAGTCAAGATTATTGCAATAGGTGAGAGGATTGAAACCCAATTATATCAGGGATAAGGGAGGATTTACAGCCAATGAGCAGGGTGGGGGAGTGGATGGAAAATTACCTAGAGGAACTTGATTAGGTGGAGGAAGAGGAGCTTGATTGGATGTTGAGGGTGAGAGAATCTCAGTAAATGGACTTAACAAGATTCATTGCTAAAACTGGGCTCAGCAGGTCAAGGGCAAGGCCTAGTTGAGAAGAGGGCTTAAGGGAACCTGACTAAAGTTTGGTCAAGGAGGGAGTCTTTGTCAGCACTCACAAAGTCATGTGAGAGTCAGGACCCAAACGCAGGACCCAAGGTGCTACGAGGCAGTGATGTGCCAGCCATGGCATGACTGGAGCTTGGAGAGGAGCCAGTGGATCTATCTGGTTTATTCCATTCCCTGGCTTCAGGGCTGACTGGCGGACAGTCACACTGGCTTCATCTCAGGTTCATTCATTTCTCACTGCTCTGTGATATACCATACTCTTCTTCTACTTCATACTTTGAAGCTTGAATTTCCAGGATTTGATAAGAAAGACTGAAAAGCATAAGCAGACTGAAAAGTGCCAAGGCTTTATCTAGACCTTGGACAAGAACTTCAACCTCATGTTTCTTGTTTGCAATATTGGGGCAATACTTGTTACAGATTGAATCGCATCCCCCAAGAATTCATTTATTGGCTTAACCTGCGGTATGACTGTATTTGGAAACAGGGCCTCTAAGAAGGTTAACAGTTAAATGAGATCATAGAAGGTGGGGCCCTAATCTGATAGAACTGGTGTCCTTGTAAGAAGAGGAAGAGATACCAGAGATCTTTTCCTCTGTGCACACACAGAGGAAAGGCCATGCAAAGACGTAGTGAGAAGGTGGCCGTCTGCAAGCTGGGAAGGGAGGTTTTACCAGCAACAACATTTTCTGGCATGTTGACCTTAGACTTCTTGCCTCCAGAACTGTGAGAAAATAAAAGTGTCTGTGGTTTAAGCCGTCCAGTCTGTGGTATTTGTGATGGCAGCCTGAGCACACTAGTACAATACCTATCCTGTGGGTTTATGATGAGAACTAAACATAAGGTAAGTTGAGGACCTAACTGCAATTCACACATGTTGGCTTGTCTCCCTTTCCTCCTGTCATGTGATTTGTGGGGTGTTAAGGGTCTTTTGCCAGCAGACACCTTCCTTGTGACCGACCATATGATGGTGTGAAAAATTCACACGGTAGAAGCATTCTTTTGGCTTCAGCTTTGCTTCTCTGTGTTGCAAGGAACAGAACCTTCACAGATTAGTATAAACTAAAAGGGGGAATTTTCTGAAAGCATGTTATTATCAGTTAGGATTCCTGGTTTCAAGCCGTGTACATGAATTGGCTGGTTTAGGCCAAAAAGGAACTATTGAAAGGATATAGACTGGGGTACAGGATTGGAGGGAAGGATGGAGGATCAGATGTGGAGCCTGCCAGCAAAAGGGCCAAACATCACACCTTAGAATGGGGGGTGGGGACTGCAAGGCTGTGCTGCTGGGCGCCGGCTGCTGCTGCTCGCTCCTCTGACCCCGTGAACACCGGCCTGCTCTGACATTGCTGGGCTAGACTCTTCTGTGACCGAGTCCTCCACACCCATGTGCCCTGTGGTCTCTG